TAATATTATTTGTATAAGAAGAACATATAGAAAGTCTTATTATAAGATATAAAACAAATGTATATGGTTAACTTGAAATTTTAAATAAATGGAATAATCCATCATTTACATTATTGTGTATCTAGCATTTTCTATGCATTGTGTCTTAATTTTCTTGTATCCATCTATAATTTAATAATTTTCACTACTCAGTAGGTTTTCACAGTGTGAAAGTTACACAATTCATCATATGTATTGTTAATGGACATTTGCACTGATTTTTATTTTTGGGAATTATAAGAAAAGCTACTTTGAAAAAATTCTCATAGTATACCCCTTTGCACCCCTACACACAAATCTCCAGGGAATATACTCAAAAAGCATTTTCTTCTCGTTGCGTGTATGTTTTACGCAGCTTTACTAATGTGTCTTCCATATGTTCCCAAACAGTTATATCCCTTGACTTGCTCACATGGGTATATTAGCAGCGCCTGTATCAATTCACATCTATACATAATCAGTACTATGTGAGGGTTCTTGGAGGTTCACAACATAACTTATATTTAGGATTGTCAAACTTTTCAATCTTACCAACGTAAAGTGTATGTGGAAGTACCTCACTGAGTTTCTCTGATAACTACTGAGACTGATTCTCTTTATACATACTTTTAGGACATTTGTACTTTCTTTTCAGTCAATTTCAATCACATTTCATAGCAGGCATTAAATATTGCCTCTCATCTCTGAATTCACCCTTAAGCGCATGTTCTCTGATAGTGGGATGCATTCTCTAAGCATTTATTCTTTACAATACGTATATTAGAAGGTAAGGAAGGGGCACTGCTGGAAGTGTTTTCACAGTCTGTCATTCTGTATTTACTCAAGTTGTTCATGTCCATTAATTCTTTCTTCTCTTGTGGATTCTGAAAAATCCCTGACAGTTAAACCAGATTCAAGGTTGCAGAGATCCAGACTCACTTAGACCACTCACAGGTGGGTGTGGATCCAGGCAGGGATTGATTTACAGTCAGAGCTAACTACTGAAGGTTGCTTTTTCACTCTGTAACATAAAATACACACTCAGAATCTGAAGGGAGCCTTTTTTCTTTTTTTTAACTGAAAGAAAGAAAGGGGAAAAGGCTATTGTCCTGTCTGTAGAATACTGCCACAGGGTGAACACACTGGCCATAAGACCTGCAAATGTTTCAGACGTTAGGTAAAAAGTGTTTTCTTTATAGGGAGTGAGAGTAAAGGATATAAAGAAAATGCAGCTGTGAGGAAGTGAAATGAGCAGGTGTCATAATCGGATAGTAAGTCAGAAAGTTTTAGGCTGAGGTCAGTCAGCCTAGTCTCTGAGTTATTGTTAGTAACCATTGAAAAAAGCTCTAACTCATGGGAAATTACTACGACATTGTTTGGTCCTGTGCTAGTCATTTTGCACTTCTTAAGTCCCTCATATATCCTTAGATACATAGAATGAAATATACATACATAAATATTATTTCAATGTAAATTAGAGCTTTTTGTTCAGAATGTTTTGTTGATTGTAAGCTGTGAATGAGAATGCTGTTGGTTTTAAAAAGTTGTATTTCAACTTGTTACTGGACTCTTACTGGGCTTTTTATCTTGTAGTAGCATTTTGCATCTTTCATAGTCAAAGAATCTCTTTTTTATGATAATACATTTGGCTCCATAATTTATTGCCCATGTAATTTGCTTGTATAATCCTGTGTGTTTTGCATAGATCCTCATGGTCTCAGTGGCTGCTCAGAGCTTTACAAATATGACCTTTCCTCCCGTCAGTGAGAACTGAGCTGCATCAGTCAGGGCACCTGCACCACGATGATGGCACAGCCCCAGCTCCTCATGGTGTTGCTGCTCTGGGCATCAGGTGAGGGAACGAAAAGCACTAGACTACTATCTTTGTAGATCAGGAAAAAATGATTTTAGATGTGGAGTGAAAGAACAATTATTTCAGAATCAAATGATCACACTAATTCCACTTTTCTGTGTCATATAAATGATTTGCTTTTAAATGTGTTGACATCATGTATGTATGTATGGTGATTTTGTCCTCTGATTTGCAGGTGCCTGTGGGGACATCATAATGACCCAGTCTCCAGCCTCCCGGGCTGTGTCTCTAGGAGAAACAGTCACCATCAACTGCAAGTCCAGCCAGAGTCTTACCAGCAGCAGTAACTATCACTACTTAGCCTGGTATCAGCAGAAAGCAGGACAAGCTCCGAAGCTTCTCATCTACGGGGGATCCAACAGGGCATCTGGGGTCCCTGACCGGTTCAGTGGCAGTGGGTCTAGGACAGATTTCACTCTCACCATCAGCAGGGTCCAGGCTGAAGATGTGGCCAATTATTATTGTCAGCAATATTATAGTACTCCACCCACAATGATTCAGCCCTTAACATAAACCTCCTCTCCAGGCTGGGGCAGGAAATCTCTGTAGCAGCAGCTGAGCTTGCACTCTTCTTCCATCTAATGGGCATCTGATTTACATGTGGGATCATATGTAGGACTCAGGAGATGTCTAAGGGACTCCGTTTTTCTTTGATTCCTTCTCTAGAAAGTCCCTATAGGAAAATGCATTTCAGTACTACTGTAGCAGTGCTTATTTATATATATATAATAGTGGTTGAATACAACATTTCCTGTTTTACATTTCTTGAGGGCAGACATCCAAAATAATACAACTGTGCTAAAATCAAGGTGTCAGCAAGGCTGCATTCCTTTGGAAGGATCTAGACTAGAAACCATTTCCTTGCCTTTTTCAGCTACTTGATATCTCATGCATACCTTGATCATGACCCTCTTCCTACATTTTCAAAGGCAACAAGATTGCATCTCTCTGACCATCTTCAGGTGTCACATCTCCTCAAGAGATGAGTTCTCTGCCTGTAAGAATTAATGTGACAAGATTGGGCCCGGCTAAGTAATCTTGGGTGATATCCTTATCAAGCACTCTACTCTAAATTACGAGTCCTGGTGTGGCACTCTGGGTTAAAATGCCAGACTGCAAAGCCATTTGAACTGCAAGGTCAGCAGTTCAAGCTCACCAGTCACTCCTCAGAAACCCTATACTGGGTCCCTATGGGTCAGAACCGACTCAACGACTGGTAGCAACAACTCTAAATTATGTATTCAAAGTCTCCTTTTTCACATATAGGAACATATTAATAGATTTCCAGGACTAGATGTAGTTTGCTTGGCAGATTCTAAATCTGTTCACCAAAACATGGATCCCTTTCCTACAATGTTAGAATACTGACCTTGTGCCCCATACAGATAGATACACTTGAGGGATGTAACCAAGGTCTCTAGGTCTGCTCACTGCTGGAGAGGATCCAGTGAATTGATTCCTTGATGGATCAACTACCATTTCCTTTGTTTTCTTGACTCTAAACTTACTTCTTTTAACTTATTCCCATTTCTTTCCTTACTCTTTCCATGCTATTGTTCTCCAAATATGGAAGCGTTCCATGTTGTAGCTCTGCCTTATTCAGACTCAAAGCCACCAACAGAGTGTGTAGCCAGTTTCCCTCTGTCCCTTTCCTCTACACACTATTTCCCTTTGGTCGCTCCTATGTTATCTTTTGATGCTAAAACAAAGTAAATTAAACAGAGGAAGGCTATTTCTCTCAGCTGTACTCCTCTGTTTAAAGGCCATGCTCCAATTCTCTCATCCTTGTGGTTGTTAAGTGCTGTTCAGTCAGGGTCAATTCTTAGAGATCCTGCGTAGTGTTTCAGAGAAGCTGATAGCTTTGAACCGCCAACCTTATGGTTAGCAGTACGATGATTATCCTACAGCACCACACCAGGTCTCCTTATGATCTGTAAATGTGAACAGATTTCCATTCATCTTGAATCCTCAGGTATTGTTTTTAAATACAGATTTGTCTCTATGACCTTAAGTTACTCAAACAATCAGTGACAAGGTTTCCTTGTACATAAAATGAATATAATACTAGCTACTTTGTACTGTTGTTGGAAAGCTAGATGAGTCAAAAAACTCAATGGGTTTGTGTACGTGTAATCTTCAGTATTACCATTATTATGATTTTTTTAACCTTTTCTACACAAATGGCAATTCTCAATTTTTTTTTTAATCATTGTTTTAGTTTCCTTTGACTGTTATGACAAATCAGCATAAATGTGGTATTTAAACCAATAAAAATGGACTCTGTTATAGTTCTGGAAGTCAGAAGCTCTATACCAATATGTATGATAGCTGCTGAGTTTATTCCAAACATGGTGAACCATGAGATCAGTATCACCGGGTGAAATCAAGGAGTCCTAAAGTAACGAACTCTCCAGTCTCTAGGACTCTGTCTGCTTCTGTGAGGTTCTGGTGGCTGTTGGTACTTCTCGAATTCTGGAAGTTTTACGGCAATCTTCAAGCCCAACATCTTCAAATATTTCTGTGCTTCACCTCACATCACCTTCTTCTCTGTGTGCCATTAAATCACAGTGTTATAAGGTTACATTGATGCCATTGTTGTTCTTAAGTGCTGCGGAATTAGTTCCAACTCAGAGCGACCCTGGATAGGGTTTCCAAGGAGCAGTTGGCAGGTTTGAACTGCTGACCTTGTAGTTTGCAGTTCAGCACTTATCCTAAAATGTCACAGCAGGACTCCCAATTTAGGATAATCCCCTTGTGTCATTATTCTTAAATTTAATCACATATACAAAGACTTTGCCACATAAGGCAACATTTACAGATTTATCAACATTTATCAGTGGTGCCTGATAATCACTGGGGCCAATATTTCAGCTACTGTTATAACATTAAAAATGATCCTTAGTATCGATCCTGAATAAATGTTGAAAACAATATGCTCAGTATAATAATTATGGTGAATCGGTTGCTTTGCTATCATGATGTAAAAAATTTTAACTAGCAATTTGTTTTGCATTAAAGTCTGTACATTTTGAATATTATTGGAGCACAGATTTGATACATTAAACACTAAAGACAGAAGACAAGAAGTATTGTGGGATGACATCAAGAATACCATACATAAAGAAAGCAAAAAGTCATTAAGAAGACAAGAAAGAAGGAAAAGGTTAAAATGGATATCAGAAGAGACACTGAAACTTGCATTCAAGTGTAGAGATACTAAAGCAAATGGAAGAAATCAGTCCAAGAGCTGTACAGAAAATGTCAAAGATCAGCTCAATAAGATAAAGCCAAACAGAACAACAAAATGTGCAAAGATCTGGAATCAGAAAACCAAAAGGGAAGAACACGCTCAGCGTTTCTCCAGCTGGGTGAACTGAAGAAAACATTCAAGTTTCGACTTTCATTATTGAAGGATTCTCTGGACAAATTATTGAATTATGCAAAAAGCATCAAGAGAAGATGGAAGGAATAAACAGAGTCACTGTCCCAAAAGGAAATGGTTGATGTTCAACCATTTCAAGATTATCAAGAGCCAATGATACTGAAGGAGGAAGTCCAAGGTGCATTGAAGGAATTGGCAAAGAACAAGTCACCAGGAAATCAAAGGATGTATTACATTAGGCAAATGTGTGACACAAGACCTTTTTAAAGTGTTGAACAGCAAAGATGTCAGATTGAAGACGAAGATGTGCCTGATCTAAGCGATGATATTTTCAATAACCTCATATGAATGCAAAAACTGGACAGTGAATAAGGAAGACCGCAGAAGAATTGATAGTTTTGAGTTATGGTGTTGGAGGAGAATATTGAAAGTGCAATGGGCTGCTAAAAGAACCAACAGATCCATGTTAGAAGTAATATAGCCAGAGTGCTCCTTGGAAGTCAGGATGACCATACCTCGTCTTTCATATTTGGACATATTGTCAGGAGGGACCAGTCACTGGAGAAGGACATCATGTTTGGTAAGGTGCAGGATCAGAGAAAAAGAGGAAAACCCCCAATGAGATAGATGGCCAAGTGATAGAATCGATGTACTCAATCATGGCAACAGTAGTGAGGTTGGCCTAGGATTGGACAGTGTTTAGTTCTGTTGTGCATATATGGTTCTTATGGGTCAGTGCCAACTCGATGGCACCTAACAACAACAACAACAACAGCCAAAGAAAGATCAAAATGGATGTCAGAAGATACTCTGAAACTTACTCTCCAGCTTTGAGATGCTAGAGTAAATGGAAGAAATGAGGTACAGGAGCTGAACAAAAAATTTTAAAGATTGGCTTGAGAAGGCAAAGTCAACTATATCAATGAAATGTGCAAAGGTCTGGAGTCAGAAAATCAAAAGGGAAGAACACGTTAAGCATTTCTAAAGCTGCGGAAACTGAAGAAAAAACTCAAACCTCTACTTTCGTTATTGAAGGGTTCTCAGGGAAAATTATTGAATGATGCAGAAAGCATCAAAAGAAGGTAGAAGGAGTACACAGAGTCACTGTACCAAAAGGAAATGGTTGATGTTCAACCATTTCAAGAGGTAGCATATGATCAAGAGCCAATAATACTGAAGGAAGAAGTCTAAGGTGCATTGAAGAAATTGGCAAAGAACAAGGCACCAGGAATTGATGGAATACAAATTGAAATCTTTCAAAGAATTGAGGCAGCACTGGAGGTACTCACTGATCTATGCCAAAAAATTTGGAAGACAACTACCTAGCCAACTGATTGGAAGAGATTTGTATTTGTGCCTAGTCCAAAGGTAGGCAACCCAAAGGAATGTGGAAATCATCAGATAATATCTTGGACATTCCATGCGCGTAAAGTTTTGCTACAGGTAATACAGAAACGACTGCAAACACACATTGACAGAGAACTTCCAGAGGTTTAAGCTGGATTCAGAAGAGGCCATGGAATTACAGATATGGGACCAAACCATGTAAAGGAAGAGAATGACTTTAGATGCAGAGTGAAATCATGGTAATTACTTAAACAGACTCAGTTAGTTACACATCTAACACTAAGAAAATTCGTTTTAAACAACATGCTTTATAATTTCTGGACTAAGTGCATGCATGCATGGTCATTGCCCACTATGATTGCAGACTGGGGACATTGTGATGACCCAGTCTCCTCCAGCCTCCCTAGCTGTGTCTCCAGAGGACATGGTCACTATCAACTGCAAATCCAGTCAAAGTGTGCACAAACATTGACTGGTACCAGCAGAAACCAGGACAGCTTCCCAAGCCTCCTATCTATCTGGCATCCTCCCTGGCTTCTGGGGTCTCCAAAAGTTTCCATGGCTGTGGGTCTGGGACAGATTTCACTCTCAGCATCAACAATCTCTAAGCTGAAGATGTAGCAGTTTATTGCTGTCAGCAACGTAATAGCTTACCAGCATAGAATTTCAGCCCGGAACAGAAACCTCCTCCCTTGGCTATGTCTCAATGAGTCTCTATAGCACAGCTGACTTTTCCCCACAGGTCCTGAACTTGCACTTGCTCTCTGTACATCTGAGAGGTTGTGTTTTCTGACTTATTTGTGGGAAGTTTAGCAGGGATCAGGAAACAATGAAGGGAATTCTGTGTCTTTGAGTCTGTTGAGGAATGTTCATGTAGGAAAATATGTACTAAAGCTTTATATTTGCTTCTTGTAGCTGCCATAAGAAATGATCCTAAACCTATTGGGTGACTCAATACAGAATTATGATTTTACAGGTATTAACATTAGAATTGTGACACAGATCTCACTGACTAAAATCAAGGTGTAGAAGAGCTGTGTTCATTTCGGAGGAGGCTCAAAGGAGAATCTGCCTCCTTGGCTTGTCTACCCCCATTGGATGAGGTGTAGCACCTTCTGAGCAGGACCTGCCCACTGGATGCTGAAATGACAGGCACACAAAGATGACCCAGAGATGCTGTTCCATCATGGATAGACAAAAAATTAATCCAAAAGGGCCTCACAGGGACAAGTGGGCAGTCCTGTTTTCCTGTAGTATTCATTTCATGTCTCATTTTAATAGTAAATTATCTGAATAGAAGAATCACTCTGTAAAGAAAACTATCTCTAGGCTTGTAAATACCTTCTCACTCAGGACACAGAGGAGCAGGAGCCCCAGGACCTGGATGGTGTCACTTTTCTGCAGCTTCTCTTCTGTGTGATGTTGCTCTGTCTGTATCTCCCATGGGAGGCTGTTTCATAGCATTTTATAAGGCTCAGATCAGAAGCGCTAAGCTCAGGACAGGAGGTTGTTGAGGGGACATTTGTGAAAGGAATGCTGCAGTATGACTATGATATTCTTAGAACACCAGGCTGTGGTTAAAATCCTGTATGTTGTGCTGCTTTTGCTGTTTAATATGGCTGTAATGTCCACCTATTGTCATGAATTCTCTGATGGAAATAATTATATTTCAATTTTCCTGTTATAGTTGCTGGAGGTCTTTGAGTTGTACAAATAGTTTGCACTTGGCTACAATCCTGAAGTTTGGTGATGTGAATCCACCGAGTGGTGGCATAGAAGAAAAGTCTAGCGATCTGCTTCAAGGAAGATTGCTGTTGTTGTTGTCAAGTGCTGCGGAGTCAGCTCCAACTTAGAGTGAACCTGCCAACAGGAAGGTGGCAGCCAGGAGAATGTTACAGACTTCAGTTCTGCTATACAACACATGAAACCTCCATGTCTTTTAATCAATTAAATGAGAATGGATTTGGCTTTGGTAGGTTAAGGTTTCTAAGAGTGGAGGTATGTTCTTGAAGTGAGCTTAATGAAATTATTCATATGTCAATTGTCTAAATGCTCAATTCACAGAGTCAATAATGTTTTCACAGTGGCAGCAGGAGCGGCCTCCAGTAGCCAGTGTCCCATGATGGGTGTCCAGTGGTGGTGGAGCCAGTAGAGCTCTCCATTGTCCATTTGAGTTGGTGGTGAGATCTGGTTTGTTGTGTATGGTGTTTATGCCATCTAGTTCCTAGTGCATTTTCTCAGCCATGTTCCCAGACTCTCCATCAAATCTACAAGTCCCCCAATATCATTTGAATTCAATATCATTTGAATTTCTGCCTCGGTTAGATTTGGTTAGATTCTTTTCAGTTGATTGTATCCAAAAACTCTGACCAATGAAAATATAATTCTACATTTGGTAGTGCTCAGTCTTCATTAAAGTTTCTTCCCTTGAATATTTATGACTGTACTAATGACTGCACGTCTAATTTTTGGAGTTGCAAACAGATAAAGTTCACTGTCGTTGAGTCAGTTCTGACTCATA